AGTACCATTCCCTTAAAATGGAAATTAGCTTTTTCGTTTTCCCATCGTTTGTCTCATTAAACTCTAGGGATATAAGCCTGTATATGAGAGCACCGAAAGGATCTGAGATAGTAATGGATTGATCTAGAATTTTTAGATTGTCAAATAATTACTTCAAAATTATTTCATTACGTATCGGTTATGGAGTGACGGATGAAAACACGGTGAATAGTTTTGAACTTGCTTTTGTTCAAACGAAATGATTCGGAAATAAGAATTAAGCGAATATCAGAGACTACTAAGCACTGGAATTGTACAGCGGCTATCGATCTTAAGTCTCCATGGTGGCTACGATGAGCTTTCAGTTATTCAGACATGAGAACTTATTAACGTTTTACACTGTATTAGCTCGACAAAAACAGCAAGTTCCTGTCTGATGAAAAATGTGCATTCAAAAAACACTAATAAAAACAGTTAGGTTGATTTCTGTTATCTGTAAACCACCTCAGGAGTACTCGTATTTTGTACAACGCGTAGAAATATCCTGAAATGTTTAATTCGTACACTGATAGGCGTGGATCACTACTGAAGTCAGAAGAACAGCATGAGCACGTTGAAAAGTATTGTATTTGGAGAATAAGTCGGATAAAGAATGACCTACCAAGGTATCGATATCTTATACAGACATCCACTGCCTTATGACAAGAGATTGACCGAACTAAAGTTAATTTGATTCCCTCTTATTGTGGTATTGTCGGGTGAAAAAAAAGTAAATGAGGTATCTATCCAACCTAACTTCCCATAGATCTGTCAATTGTGTTAACATAACATAGAAATGGAAAGTAGCATGCTAGCGCAGTTTCAGATAAACATATTTCAGACATTCATTTATACAGAGAGATTGTAAGCGACACAGAAATGATAGAAGCTTGGTAGTCCTTTCCAAACATTGCCTGTTATAAGCATTTTTATAATTCGGAAAAGACAACCTATAGTGCGATCAATGAAGCAGATAATGGACAATATAAAAAAGTATGTTGTACGTGTACAGGTATGTTGGGTCCACAAGGCTTGTCGTAGCTTTCGGACAAACTAATGAACCTTTTCTCCCCGAGTTACAATCCATGTCTTTCGGCCTTATCAGTATGTCGCATATAAGCTTGGCCGCTTTTACTTCAGTGAGTTTGTGGATTGCTTACTTCGCTTGCTGCACATCTACCACGTTTTCGCCTAACTACAAATAATGAGTCACGCTTCGTCGCACAGAGTCGGCTCAAACACTTTCTCTACTTCGCTCCACTCTGCTTGTATGCCTTTCATTCTCATTTCCGCCTACATGAGCGACTGCCTGAAATAAACCCATCCAAACAAATCCTTACTTGACTCCCTACTACCGCCTTCACACAAACGGGGTTTGCCTGAATATGAAATGTGATATCGTATATAATACATGCTATATATATGTATGGCATATTTAACTGTACGTAAATATTGGAGTCATCGCCAGCCACTAAGGCAGTGAGCTTTACTTCGAGTCTGACGCAGCTACAAAGTGACAAGCCTCGACGAGGAATTTAATTCAGCCCCCTCCACTACACGTGCAGACACAAAAACATACGTAAGACGAGTAAGTATAGAACGGAGAGAACAAGATTTGTTGAGGTATATTTACTGAAGATCAAGAATGCCTATGAGGAGCACAGAGCTATTCGGAAGGTTAAAATGACTCAGTGGTTGCATGCCGTCATAATCATAAAAGTCAGTTCAGAGGATATAGTGAATCAGATGTGTGTATAATGATAACGAGGCTGCTACACATATTTTACTTGCCACTTCTCTATCAGGACAAACTCTTACGGGTTCGTTCGATAAACATTCAACGACTCAGAAGAAACTGCTTGACAGTCAAATACAGGATTTCTCTTCTTAGTGTCAACCAGAAGCGATCCCTCTCTCAACGCGTGGTGAGGCTCCATGTGCATCTAAAAGAAGTTCGAATGGACTAAGGGAACCAGCACCGTCAGAATTATCACAGAATATCCAGCCTTCTGCTTCTCGCAGACTTAACCTGAATCTAATGACCTTCGTAGCTTCCCATAAATCCAACATCTGTGGTTACAACCTGGTTGTACATAGCCGTCTACAACGGATGCTATGGGGGGAAGAAAGGTACCGAGGGCTGAAATGACAAAGTAATGGTCGCTCAAAGTTAAGTATATGTATGGCAACATAAGACCCTTAGTTAACAGTAGCTAGATTGTTGGATTTCTGACGCATCCACATAAATGCCAACGCTACTCGGATGATCTTTGGTGAGAAAGTCTTATAGACATAAAGAATATAACTTAAAACTGCAAACTAACTTATAACAGCTGAACATAATAAATCACATACTTAATTTCAGTTCCTCAACGTAAATGGGTTTCTTTTGTTTGACTATTCGACCTTCCCTAATCAGCTGAGCGAATGTTTGTGATGTGCGGGCTTTGAACAGCCGTCAGGTCAGGGTCTGGGCGGTTGTCTTCCCGTCTTCTGTTATTACGTATGCTTCGTTGCTATGAAGCATAAATTATCAACCTGTGATCTCCCATCATCCTTTAAGCTTCGCAGGTTGGAAGGAGGATGCTCACGAGTCCATCATAAAGGAAACTCAATCAACTCCTTACTTGATCTCAGTGCTAGAGTTGTAGCTGAATATCTACCGTTTGAATATGTGGAACGCATGTTGGTTCACATACCCGAACCTGTACAGGAAAAAATAATTTACTACTCCTTTCCACAAAGAGATAGTGATATCTATACGTACGCATCCTTTCACTCAAAGACCGATAAGACGCGTGACAAGATTCCGTATTATCAGGGACTGGAATATTTTCAGAATAACTGCGTGGAGAATGTTATTCAGATCGGTATGTTACTCACAAAGTCTTATAGTTTCCAGGATTTCACTTAACTGGGTCTGTACGACAACAGCCTACGACATGCATTTCCGAGACTGAGGGAAACAAATTCAAAGTTTCAATAACATTCGATAGGTAATGCGAATTTCTTTTTTCAGACTGAATTCAGATGCAAAATAATATCGGTTTGCTGTGACTGTGGTAATAAGGGGTTGTCATGGTGTCCCCATGTTGTTGCTCTTGCCTTGTTCCGGATAAGACAGCCTCATCTTGTGGATTATCGTTCACCTATTTCAGGTAAAAACATTTTCGTCAGGTTTCAAATTTGATATTGTTTGTTACTGGTCATTTATAATTTATACTATGACATAAAACCAATAGTTTTGCTTATTAAGAGATTATTTTAGTTAGGGGTCTTGAAAATGATTGTGAGATTTTAAAATTTACAGAATCATAAAATGAGTATGTTTGGAACACAAAGTAAGTTTATTCTCGCCTGTCAAAGATTCTTGACCATAATGTAGTATGGTTTTGATATTTTCATATGATCTATCACAATCGTTTCATGTTTTTAACTGACCGATACGAACTACGTCGATGTACATTTATCTTCTTCATATGCCTTCAAAAGATAATCGATAAATCAAATAACGTCTAGTTCTAAAAAGAAATGTTTTGCTATTGTAAAGTCAAATTTCTGATCTAAAATGAGAAGCTTGAAACTGAAACTTTACCTGTTAAATCCTTGTCATCTTCAATGTCGGCAGTGTCAACTAGTCTTTATTAGCGAATTAGAGACGTTCCGACAAGTGTTGTACTTTCGGCACTTCGAAGACGTTTGTTCTTAATCCACACACCGTTTAAAGAAGTGCATGTAACTGGTGTTAAACGTTTTTAATCTTGCATGGATGAGTACCAGGATCTGATTTATGTACTTCTAAAACTTACCTTTCGATTACTTCAGTAATTTTGACCAATCTATTTTGTATTACAGTAATCCAACTGAGGTATGTCGCATAGTAAAGCTTATTAATCGATATCCTACAGTGCTGGACAATTATATGTCTATGTTGTCTTAAGTATTTATCTCATGAAACATGCTGTTTCCGAAGCAAATATTCATATAACCTTAGGATAACGATCTGGCAAAAATATTATAGCGACCTTTTTTAATCTTCCAGGTTTTGATATAACAGTGCATTTATAAGCAATATGTTCATTTTAAAACCTATTCTCATTGATAGTTGTTCTTATACTTTTGTATTAAGTTTGAAGAGCTAAACGAGATCGTTATGCTCATTTTAACCGATTATTATTCTTTGTTTTGATAATTTCCATTCAAGTAAAATTAAAGATAAGCTATCATAAGTATTTAGGTCAAGGATTATTTTAAGGAAATACGCGGCTAGACATCTAATGGTGTATCTTTTGAGTTTTTATCCCTGAAGATATTTGCATCATGGTTAAAAAGTAAGATATTAGTCAAATAGATCTGGTCTTCATCCGTTTATATGTTAACACCTAACTGTTGTTGTATTACTTAATAAATGAGGCATTTGACTCTCCATTGAGGGTTTTCGTAACATTGTCTCTTATTTTATGACATACTAAAGAAGTCCATTAATATACTGATGGTTCTCCATCTAAACTTTTCACTAGTTTTATCTATTGTCCTGTCTTAGTCAGCTAAACAAATTTATTTTTCAGGGCTGTTAACTCTTCACACATTTAAATCCCTCAGATATACTCCTGAAAACGGTTCCTCTCAAATCCCTCAAAAATCTATTAACGTAGAAACTCCTTGACATGGTTTTCAAACTTAATGTATTCTAAATATCAAACATAAAGATTTTTTTGATGTCCAATCACCCTCGGCTCAGTATTTTGCTTAATAACATGTTTACATCATCTGGCTTAGTGCTGACATTAAAGTAGTTGAGCTTGTTGACTTCTTAACTCATCTTGAGTGTATGATATGGTTTTTGTTTATTTTTTCACACTTGTGGCGTACGTGCAAGGTTCATTTGCCTATCAAAGGCCACGTATACTGCATAGCTGTTACGGCTATTCTATCATCGATGTCTTCAAAGCATTGCTCGTATGTCCTGGAACCACCGAGTAAGCAATGCTGCTGTTAGGGAACGGGTATTAGGTAAGGATGGTAGACCAATAGATGAAGTATTGACACTTCATCAGTTGAGATGGTTGGGACATGAATTACGAATGCTTAACCTCCTACTGCCTCGTCGAGCAATGTTTTGTGATATAGAGGTAAGCTGGAAGAAAGCCAGTCTTAGTCAAACCAAGACATGGCACTAATCCATGAAGTCACTGAGAACTAGACTGAGTCGTGCTGGTAAGTGTAGACTACCTGGTTGGAGTCCGCGATATGATAGTAATCGATGGTGGTTAGCGACCTTGAGTGACATGGCTCAAAACCGTTTGTAATGACGCAAGTGCACCCATTCTTTGTGTTCTCTCACATCTCAATCCTCTGGATTCTTCATCACTTCTATCTTTCTCTTTAAATTTATTTCACTGAATTATACCCTAATCTTCTTGATTACCGTTAATACTTCTACTACTATGGGTTCTGAATGGAGAATTGCGTCTGTGTGCTAATGTGGTACGGCAACTTGGACTGATATACGTACGTACGAAGTTCTACGTTGTAACTGACTGATACTACACAGCAGCTATACCTGTCTATAAGATATGTTCTGTGAATGTCGAAAACATGCGTATCTAGAAATTATTGAACCATGTTTGTCTTTAAAGGACTAGTTGTGTTTGGCGATGTCGAATAAATGGTATTGTGGTTAAAAGCAAGCAACTAGGTGAAAATCCTAAATTCGTTGGTCAGTCTGTCAATCTTTATCAACTGAAATATGTACTATGCATATTCCACCATTGCCTGCTCCAACCTATGGTGATTAATATCAAAAGCATACGTGCAAGGGAGGTTAAGTGCAGTCAAACCAAAACTTGATTTCTAATCTTGATCACATTTGCTTTTAATTTAAGCCAAGTTAGTAGATACAAACCTCTTAGTCAGACCTATCACACAACTGTCATTTTTAAACATCATAGAACCTGGCATCTATGTGCATCAGTTCAAGTTGCTATACCCGCTCAACATAAGCAATATGAGACTGGCACGGTAATGCCAGAGTATTACAATTAATGACAGTATCAACAGTAGTAATTGAGTTTTCTATTATCATCAGCGTCGGTATTTTTAGTTTTCTGTCTTTGTACTTATGTAACGTGTAAGCATCTAAAATGATGCCCATATGTATCATGAGTAACTGTAAATTTTGCATGAATTCATCAATACAAGGCATGTTTGTACTCATTTTTAGGCAAGAAAGTTAGGTTCGTTCTATTGTTTAGTGTTAACAGGGGTTATTCGTAGAGAAAGTGATCCCATCCAAACCTAGTCTGATAAGTGAAAATAGCTTCTACCTTGACATGGTAATCGGGCTTGTCCATTGTGATGACCTGACCGAGCTATATTGGCTGAAACACAGTTCCCCTTAGGTCCTACCATTCCAAGTAAGTTAATTTGATAACGATAAGACTAAAAGCAGCAAGTAAAGGTCTGGGGACGAAGTCAGACTGTATAGACGTGTAACAGCGGCACGGTGTTTCACTCAAACAGCCGGTATCTGCAGTAGTGCTGCCTCCTCAAAACAGAAAGGCATTAGAAAAATTCGACCTCAAAAATGTTACCTTGCCTCACATTTCCATTTTTGGTGTCGAGGCCTTTAGAAATATGGTGCCAATACATCAGAAGCTTTCCACACAAAGGCCGTGCAGTTGTCCCTTGGGCTCTGCAATCATGCTCTCAGATCAATGAGACGAACCGTAGCCCAGCTTCCTTTTCAAACCCCTCAGCTGGTCCTGTTCTTCTAAAATCACACTCTAAACTACATATTAGAGCTTCTTATATTCTAACCTTGCGCCTAACAGGACAACAGGTTTCCTTACCTAGTCTTCTAGAATCTCGCGCCGCTAGTTGATGCCGCGACTACAAAACGCGCATACAGAATCCAGGTGCAGTTATTCACTTAGTCTCGCCTTTTTGATATCAAAACAACGCAACTTACTCTTCATGTATCTGAAGTCCTCTCTGCCACATCCCGTGGCCTCACTGGTGTAAGTATGGCAATATGTCCATAAGTAGAACCGGCTCTCGTAGACTGGATCCCTATCGATAATCGTTCATGTGCTGTCCATTTCAATGGGACTGTAATAACTCGGAAGGATAGACACATACCATTGTCTCTACCTACGCTTTCACAATTTACAGCTCAATTGAAGTAAAAGATGAGTTTCATGGTAAGCTTTCCAACTAAACGCTCTGATATGGTAATGGTAGCTGGTAATTTTAATGCCTACGTAGGTAGACTAAACCAAGGCGGGAAGCATGTCAGTAAATCTTACAATGTCATGGCTCAGAGAACCAATAATGGCGACCCTCTACTGCAACTGTGCTCAGGTGACCGTTTACTTCAAGCATGCATCAACTTTTAACCTAAGAAAAAGTATCGTTCGATATGTAGACCCAACGATGGACTCAATTAGACCACATTCCCGTCGATCGTCGCTGGAGAGTTCGGATAGAAGACTACCACTTATTCTGGAACACATGTCCAGACTCAAATCATGCTCCACTATGAGCACGTATTTTTCTGCGTTTTACCGGACGTAAAAAGTCAGAGCAACAAAACTCCTTGGAGTTTAAACTAACTATTCAAGAATATTTTTCAGGAACAACTGAAAAAGTGATACCCACCTCGACGTAGCTTGTAATAACACTAAAACTCCTTAGAAAGGGCAGTGACATCTGCTATCAAATTGAACTAAAAAGCAGATCGAAATCATTGGGTTTTATTGGCGTCTACTGAACTGATGGATGCTCATAAACTCATTCTGTCCGACTCTAAACGCGACGAAGAGCGAAAACAAGTTAAACACAGAATGATTAAAAGCCCACACAATCATCGTGAGCAGTGGTGGGTAGCGAAATGAAAAGAGTTGGAAAAGGTAGCATCAATAGGAAGTTATTCTTCAGAACACCTTAACTTCCCATCATCTACAACCAACCGTAATTGCAAATTGACATAATTCCTGCAACTCTTAATGAGGTTGAAAAGACAATCTGAGCCAGAGAAGAGCAGCAGAACCAGATGGATTAACCCTTGAGATTTTTCAGGATGTCATTCCAGTTTTATCACTTAGATTAACTGAGAACTACAAGTAATCTCAATTGATTGGTCTCAATCCCAGTCTAT